TATTTATGTGCAACTTCAAAAATAATAACGTACCACAGTAATTTACAGTATAGAATACAACCCTCTCCTGAAACCTGGGACAATTTTCACAGACAGGAAGATGTGGCATGCTTGCTAATCGTGAGCAACTATCGCTAAGCTTCGCTGCTCTTGATGATCATGATAAGTGGGAGTCCGTCAAATAGACTAAAAGGGGTACCGAAGAGTTTTATGAAGAGGCAGACGAATGAGCCGGCTTAATGGACGCGTTCTGCTCCTTCTCTCCCCCCTTTTAGCATGAAAGCAGAAGGGAAAAAAGGAAAGTGTGAAGTAAACAACTTTTAATTGTCAGCCAAATGTAAGTACGTACTCTTGGAGAAACTACAAGAGGCAAGGCATAACAGCATCTCGTCTTGCGGGATAGGGTCAGTTAATGAGCTTCTCGTTAAGCCAGAACTTGTTTGCGGCGGATGGATAATTATTTCTGCAGTAGTTTCTACAACGCATTTTATTTGATATTACTCCTCTACCTCTGATCCGTGCTTACCTGAGGTTTGACCTTCTTATAAATTGTTGAACTGGTGTGTCGATAAGAAGTAAATTGTGAAGCGCGATTGATTTGCTGGCACGAATAATTATCATTAAATATGAATTTGCGATTCACCACATCTAAATTCGGCAGAAGATTTTGATTAAAATATAAGTGAGTTTCTGTAAACCCATCAACTTTTTAATCGTGTTTACGCTTTGGGACAATGAAAATGCTTGAAAAGCAAGCGTTGAATATTCGCTGCGCACCTTGAGAATATGGGAATTGGAGCCACATCATCACCAATAACTTCACATGGTAGTATAACGGAAGCCATCCAATCTCTCTTTCGATCGCGGTTATGACGTAGTCCACAGTCACGGCAACGCTAAAGTACGCAAGCCACCATTCGTAGCGCCGGGTTCGCTTCTCACCAAGTACTCCAATAGTGACGTAGGCTGGGAAGCCAAAACCCAGAAGGTAGCAGCCACGAGACGCAATAAAGCCAGGAGTAAAGATAAAGATCAGGCCAAATAGAGCAGGCCCCTGTGACCACAGATCCTTTGCCAAGTGCACGTGTCGCTCAGGCACAACACGGAAAGACACTAGTAATCGAATGAGAAAATTTGTCTTCTCTTCTTCCTCTGCGTTAACGGATGGTTCGCGCTCTTTGATCCGGTTGGAATACGGGCTTATGAGTGGATTGATCAGCGTGTAAATCGCAATGCTTCCTCGAGTGAACGGAGAGTGCATCCAAATTAGAAAAATGTTACAAAAGTGTAGTGGCACTGCGAAGAACGAGATTATGAAGACTGGCAGGCAGAGTGTGAGCATACCGATCCCACAGACTGCCATCGACCAAATAACCCAATACTTCAGACATGCTTCATATGCCCTCCACTCGTAGTCTGGTAAGCTTAGTTTCTCAAATTTTTTCATCAATTCGTTTGTTTTTCCTGGTCTTGTCTGGGAACATTTTGGGTACAGCCTCTTTCGTCGTATGACTCCAATCGAGTGAAGTAGTGGATATCCCACCGACAACAATCTGAAGAGCGCTTCGCTGCTTAACGCGTCCATCAAAAATATGGGTAACCAATCAAAAGTTTCGTAGCTTAGTGCAAAAAACATAATATGTGGTAGCAGAATTGCCACGATACGCCACTTGGCGCCTAGACTGGCGACAAATGATCGGTATTTTTGTTCTAGTAATCTCCTTGTGCGAACGTACTGCATTCTTAACCTGTGCACGTATCCCTGACGAATACAGATGGCTCCAAACAGCATGGACGCGACCACTAGAGCTTGATACAGCGGATCCATCTTGCCTACGTAAATAGCTGCCATTTTGACAGCGGTGATCACGTGTGGCAGCACTAATTCACCAACTGTAGCTAGTCCTTGCATAATTGGTACTGATACCAATAGAAAAAAGATGCTCCAGTATTTCAAACATTGGAACGTAACTATAACAGCGGATTCCAAAGCAGAGCCAATGGCACCCCAATTTGGACTCTTTGCGAATAGCTGAGTGATGTCTGAAATATTGAAAGTATCTGACGGTAAAACCTGGCTTGACAAAGCATTAGTCAGGGGCTTTTCATCTTGCTGCAACGTGTGAAATGTTTATCAAGAGATTTGTACATCTAGCAATGTATTAAGCACAATCAAGCGACTTACTGTGAGAACGTGAACGGATGTTTGAAGCTCCTTACTTGTTGAGGTGGTGGAAAGATGCGCGTCTAAAAGAATGTAGAGATTGGAAGCCAATAAAGCACCCAGAGCAGGTAGCACTAGCCGCAGCATCGTAGTAACTCGATCGTCCAGCTGGTCACTAAGGTGATGACACTAACACGAGGGAGGCGAATTAGGTGTTCGTTAACTTTATCATTAATTTATAATCATTAATCTCGTGTACTGTAGTGGCAGCAGTGGTGCTGATCAAATAGTCTGGTTTCTGTCTGGTACAGCTGGTATTATTGCCAATTCTTGGATTGCGGATGTGAATTAGCTTGAGCCCATTGATGACACCAGTTTGCTTGTATGAATGCTTTTTACCTTCAGCAATGCTAAGAGCGTTTTTTTACTTCCCTTTGCCGAACACACTGGCCTTGACACTGTCTCTCAGCTTCTCAGCTAGGCACTTCAAGTCACAACTTCATTATTTGTCGCAAATGTTCGATATCGACTAAAGCTAGTTTATAAATGAGGTCGGCAAGCTTGGCTAGATTAGTGGTTATCCAGCTTTCGACCTTGTGAATAATACCGTGTGGTCGCTAACTTACCGAATGCTAGTCGCTGATCTATCGAACAAAACGTTCTACAGGCTATTCACAATTGAAAGCTAATGCTGGATGCCAGGTGTCAGTATATTTTTATCAGCGATATATAATCGAATTGGTGATTATGTGGACCAAGTTGAATTGACGTCTCCAGATGTCTGAATCTTAATGATCGGTATATTTCTCGATCCAAAGTATCAGGATTAGTAATGATGATGATAGTTCATGATTTGATTTACTGATATAAAGTATCTAGTCGTGACGACTGAGTGCTCTATGCTTTGGTATATAGTGTGATTACTGCTATAGCGTTAGGAGCTCGACAAATTCAACAGCTGAGTAACCAAGTTAAAAAAAACGTAGTTTGCTCTCAATAATAAAGCAGTTGTTGCTAGTCGAGACAAACAGCTACGTGACTGGTGTCAGTAAGAGATTTCTCGCAGTTGTGAAATTTGGATGATACTGTAGAAGGTAAGATGATAGCAAATTGTCAATTAAGTGGCCCCAATCTTTAAGGGTTACGTTTTTTAAATATATTTGACCGCTGAGATTCAGCGTAGCGTTACATTATATCGAGACGAAGAAGACTTCGGCTTAACGACTAAACAACAAGATTCTCGGATTGTACGACGGTGATCGGCTTGATCATCAAATTCGCCTTCATCATCTTCGTTTAAACAGCATTGGTTCTGATCAAATTTTCAGGCACAATGTTAAAGCGAATTTCTGATTTGATTGGTGTGTATGCGATATATGCAGATCTTTGCTAGCGCAATAGAGCCTTAATTTTTTCAAAAGTCTCAACAGGACCTTCCCGATTCATTTTGCCTAGTTCTCACGGATTTGCGTTGAGTCCAATTGCATCTTTAGTAGCGTGAAACAACGCCAGGTACAATGCCTTTATTGATGTCAACGTCATCTTGTGATGCTTCTTAATTCGCCAGCTGATACCTCCTTGTAAGCACAGTCACATGTACTGGTCGAATTTTGACGTCGCCATCCTGATCTGCATTTAAATAGCCTTAGAGTTTTCTTCACATGTTGTTTGTGCTTGATGCCGTTCGATTTGTGCCTCAGTGCATAACACACGCTTTCGCCAAAAACATGGCTGACCGCTTTCAATACAGCAGCAATGACCAACCTCAAGGTTATCTAAAGATCCGTCTGCAATTCAACCTCTTTCGCACACGGCTTTAGTCAGATGAGTGATATGTTTTGGCAGGGTTCCTTTTCAATGCCAAATGTCCTTCGTGAACATATTTGACGCACTGACACGCACCCGACAGACATGTCTCGCTCAATTTCTATACCTAGAAATTTATATCGTCCGTCATGTCAACCCTTTCTGCAACAACATTACCGTGAATCCTTCATAATAGACTTTGTCTCTCACAGTCTGTGATTACAAAAGTTTTGATGTTGCTTTCGTGGTCTTTAATCAGGAGCAAACCCAAGGCATTAAGTACTTAACACTGTTAGTTAGCTATACCTCTTTCAAATTACATATTTAGGATTTGTTTCATTGTGACTAGTTCACTGTTTCACATTATAAAGCTGTTCTAGTAATCCTGATGCATACCGATATTTTTGTACTCATGAAAATCACACAACATGGAGCGTGGAGTTCGTAGATTTGCACCATATTGTAATTTAACCAAATAAGCAGCGGGGCTGCCGTAGCTTTGCGCTTAGAGGAAGCGTAATTTAGGTCACCGACTGGAAAGCGCCTCCCAGTGGGTTGATCATTTGCTCACAAAGCCTTTTTCGCATTCGTGTTGCTCTTGGTGTGCTTTCGTTCTATACTTAGAACAAGTACGAGTTAGCAGATCGCAATTTGCTTACTCCAAGGTTAGTTACAACCTTAACCCAAGGCTAATTAACTCTTCCGTTTAAATTCAACACTGATTTTATTTATTGTTATCTGTAGCAAATTCGCCTAATTTTAAGCGCATAGATTTTCCTAAATATGGATAGTAAAATCTATATACATGTATAACTACTGGCTATCCAGCCCCGTCTTTTTTTTGTTTGGGTGTGGTCACACCATGCCCATCTGGTGTGACACACACACCTGTTACCAGGGTATGCATAACCCCTATACACATTCCCCTATTAAGATTGAGAACATTTACAGTTCCAATCGATTATTGCCTTAACGAGGCTACGTGTCCGTTAGACACTGCGTTGGAATAAAACAACTTCCGTGCTCAACGAGCCCTGTGTCAATGACACCGAAGTCTCCAAGTCTCGCTGGTTCCGACAGCGCTCACGGGCAGAGCCCAGCTTCATCTCCCGCACACGGTACCATGTTGAACCGTGACTCCGCGGCATCGAGGGATGTAAATCCTAGGCTCGATGAGCCCGAGCGTCGCGCTCAGCGCACGCTAACGGTGATGAGTGACCTCGTTGGGGATGTGAAGGTGATCGACTAAGAGTCTGACACCCCTTTTTCTGGATGGGACGATGAGGAAGGCGAGCCGCACCAGCGGCGTGAGACGGCGCGCCTTGCGGACCCCATGTCCATTCCCTGACTTCTGGTCATCTGAGGAACGTGGTGTAGTCATCAATGACCTCGATGAGGCCGAGAAATGGCAGCTGGAAGCTGCCCGTAAGGCGGCTCTGGTGCGAATACACGGCCGGTCATTGTCCCTCGTGTGGAATGTGGCTATCGCCCAGCGGACCCCGCTGTGGAAGCGAAGTAACTTGATCGTTACGCCTCCACATCATCGGACCCCCAGTCATTACGAAAGTTGGGCCTGCCGAACGGAAAGCCCTTCGAGCTCGTTTTTTGGTTCCACAAGAATCTCCGTTGGAAGCTTATCGCACTCGTCTGCGTGATCAACGAGGTGGCTCTCGTGTAACCGCAATGCGGACAATACCTGTAGTGCTTGCCCCTGGCGAAAACGCTACAGATGACGAAGCGCTCTTTGAGCGATGGGTGCAACGGCACCGGAAGCTTTCCTCACTGTATGCCTTACAGTTGAGCCACAAGGAAGTGGACGTGCGTGTGGAGCGACACCTCCGATTTGAGGTTGCCAAACTCAGAGCACGCCGTTAAATCCCATGACACTTCTACTTCCCTGGCTATTGCCAAAAAGCGCGTCTGATGACGCGGGGCGTCCTGATCTTCCTGATCAAAAGCGTCCACGGCGTCTGAATGATCTTGCCAAAGTGGCGTCTCAAACTCCCACGAGTTTTCGGAGTCGGGATACTCCCGCCACTTCACCAGATATATGGTCTGACCCTGGTGACGGCGTCGTCCTACTAGACGTTCCACGTGATAGTGGACGTCATCGATCTCATCGAGAAGAGTCGGTGGCGGGCGGTGACGACCGGGTCGATCGCCGTCTGGTGACTCGCGATACACTTCGAGCCCTTGAGGATGAGGACTTTCATGATCGGAGCTCCGCTGAGCGTCACGCTGAAGTAGCATAACGCCATGCGGACGCTCTTGATGATTTAGAGTGCGTCGTGCACCGGCTGCCTCACCTTGAGGACTACCGCGCTCTGTCGGAGCGACTGCTAGTCGTGGAGCAGGCGAATGCATCGCTGCAGGCAACGGTGGGGCACTTGGCGCCATTAGAAATGGAGGTTGTTGCACTCCGTGCTCAGAACCAGTTGCTGGTTCAATTTTTGAGTGGCCGAGGGCCCGTGGGATCCACTCTGGCGTCAACGCTTCCGCGTTCATATGCGCCGGATCCCGATCCGGCTTGAGCAAACCCACGTAAAACACCCGGTGAACGCGCATCCGTTTGGGAAGGTTCAGCGTATACGCTAGGCCCCGCTTGGTCAGAACCTTAAACGGTCCAATAAACCGTGGACGAAGCATCGTCCGGAAGATAGCAGAGGCTGCATGTGTAGGCATGTTTTTAGAGTTTGATAAAACCCGGTCTCCGACCCTGAAGCTTTTCACTTTACCTCTTCCTTTTTCATCTGCATATTCTTTCTGCAGGTCTTGGCTTTCAACCATCGCATCGCGAACGTGTCGTAGGACACTCCGTCTGGTATACAAGAAATCATCGGCTTCTTTGCGGATTGTGAGGGGCTGACATCAGCTAGCCGCTTGGCTTTTCCTCTCCTACCAAGCCCTGAGCCATAGGATGGCGGCGTCAGCGGGACGCGAGGGTGAGCCAGCCCGTTCACGTAGAATGGCGTGTAGCCGGTAGAA